AATAGACTTCAGTATAGTCAGCCTATGTTCTACATTTCTCTTTAGCCCAAAGTTGAGAACTTTGGCTATGACAGTTCCATCTGTTTTGTCATGATTTGTTTCACGAATTGTCATCAAATTAGGCCAGTTCTCAATATATCACTCAAAACAGTCCACTACTGAGATCCATCGCATGTCTTGTGTGCGAGCTGGGAGCGACCTGAGCCCTTTTCCGCGCTGCACGCGGGCTGTGGCCAGCAGCCCGGGCACGCCGGGTCAGAGAGGGAAGGCCGTCGAGCTGGAATTAGGCACAAACGAGTATCGGTAGTTTTAAAGATTGTTTACTTACACCGAGATGGCAGTGGTGTAGGCTGGAAAACTTGATTGAGTTGCGGTTACAGACAGACAACACAGACGGTCTCGTGGAGGTTGCTAGGCTCCACGGTGCAGAGCTCCGGATGCTCTGGGTGAACGAGCCACCAAAATGGAAATCGTAGATACGTCTTATAAAAGTCACGCTCGAAGACGGGAAGAGGTGGGTGGTGGATCAGGCCGCCACTTTCCTCTGGATCTCACACAGGGTTTCTATTACCCTGCTGTGTACCCAGAGTCCCCACGAGATGGATGTGGAGTCCTCTTCGGCTTGGGCGGAAACCGCTCAAGCCTCTTATACGGCTAACAGGCCAATCGTTAGCCGCCACGTGTGAATAATTTAGCACTAGCCAATCACGGGGAATGAATTTGCATACCGGTGGCAGGAACTGTTTTGCACCGTGCATTCCTCTTGCAACATGAGCAATGCACTCTGCAAAAGAAGCTGCAGAAAAGGCGGGAAACGCGTCCCTGCACCGGGGTTTCCTCTGCAACAGGAAACTCTCCCGTGCAATGCTCTGCAACTTGGCAGGGATAATTCTGGTGCTGAAGCACACACACAATCATGCCTTTTGGGTCATGACATCTTGTAGGAGAGTTAGTTTGGTTCCTCCTGTTTTCTTCAGGGCAGCTACTGCAAAGTGGTTGTTACGGAAGTATTGTGTAATTCATCAACATTAGCCTTTATTTCTGGAGCACTGAAGTGTTTGGTGAAGAGGTGCATCCAATGAGTGTTGCAGCCTTATGTTATTAGCTTGGGGCTTTCTTCACTTTCTTCTAGATATCTTCTCATCTTTGATACATTTGCAGCATTTTTTCACAGTTTGTTACAGCTTTTACTGCTGCTACTTGTAAGTATTCTGCTTTGTGTGCATTTCCAGATGTATCAGTTATTTCTGTAAGGTAGACAGTCCCTTTTGTCACACAAGCACATATTACTGGATCATTGTGGACATTGCTCCACCCATCAAGACTCAGGTTAACAGTTTTCCCCTCTAGATTTTTTGCATGCTGTTCAGTTTCTTTCTCATACACTTTATTCAGCAACTTGCTTTCTATATCTGTTGGGCGGACTGTATCCTGGTCATAATGACTGAACCATGTCAATAAAGTGTGTGTTCTCAACCATATGGAAAGGAGAATGTGTTGCATAAATAAAGTGAGCAGTTTTTTACATCAGTTGCCCTGTGCTGTAATCTGCTGGTTCTTATTACAAACTTATTTAAGGTTGTTTCAGGATGATGGAGATTTTTTTTCTTTTTGCTACAGGTGATATACATTTGACTGGAACACTAGTATCATTAGCAGATAACTCTGAATCTGTAGACAGTGACAATGATGTTGAAGATGGATAGTCAGAATCCTGTATGTTGAGGATGGATCCTCCTGAACAAAAGAAGTCAATGCAGTCACTACAGTACTATTAGTTTAGTATTACTTATTGCACTCAGTACTACTTTAAAAGTGAAACTTTAAAAGAAAGATCTGCCTATTTCAGCCATTATTTTATATCACAACTGCATTAAAAACATGACAGTTTCATAATATAACAACTATTTTTTTAGCTCAAACATTTTTATGAGAATTCAAGTAGTTCAGAAGTCCACCCAAAAGTTATGGACAGGGAAGACAAACAGTCCTTACGAAAGAAGTATGAAATAAGAAAGTTTACTAACCTGGAGTTTCTGCATGTTCAAACATGTTCCATTTATCATCTTCAAAGTGGCTTACTCCTGAGAAGGAGCACTTTTCATGATGTTGCTTCATTTGGGCAACCAGGCCTTGTATTTCTTTGTTGCACTGGTTGCATTTTGCATGCATGCATGCCACAGGTAGAGGAACTTCATTAAAATATTCCCAAACAAGGGTCCCTTTTACAGCCTGGCAAGCCTGCTGCCATGATAGGTTTTCCTTTCTGCCATACCATTCCCTCACTAGATCTCAAATCAGTGGAGAGGCTATACTCAGAAACATATCCCTCAAGACTTCTGGAATATTCGGCTCAAAATGTTTCCCCTTTGTTTCTACTGCCCCTCCCTCCTTGCATTTATTTCCAGACTCTACCTCCTTGCCTAGATCTACTCCACCCATAACAATCCTTTATTCATTTAACTTCTTGAAACTTTGCACTTTTAGAGAGAGGTAACGGTTTGACTCTGTGTGTACAAACCTGCAAAGAGACATGAGGGCTGATGGGTAAATAATTAGGTGTGTTATCTCTCATCTCCATATACTGCTTTTAACAAGGATGTTATCTCTGGAGACACAAATCCACAGTTTGAGAACTGAAACTAAGTGTGGCAGGGCACTGTTGGTGCCTGCCACTTTAAGGGCTGAGTCAAACAGCCAGCAGGTGCTTGATTACAGCGGCCATTTTAGAACTCTGGCCACCTATATAAACAGAGCAGTTTGCTGCTGGTAGGCTTGGCCAAAACATTGCCTGGCTAAAAGGCTGTATGAAGCATCTTGGAGGTAAGGGGAGGAGCTTAGGGGGATGGGTTGGAGGCTGCTGGTCCTGGGCATGACCTACAACTGTACCCTGCTGGGAGTGGGTGGCCTGGTGGGGCTCCCAGTGGTGTGGGAGCCCCCAGGAAATACCAGGCCAGTTACCACCCTGGTGAAAGGCAGGTCGGGGCACCTTAACCCCTAGCCGCCACAACATTGTGGGTACAAGGGTACCAGACATGGCTATGACCACCTGAGCCCAAAGAGGGTGTAAGACCTAGGTGGGGCCAGGTACGGCTACGGCCACCTGAGCCCCCAGTGGGGAGAGAAGCCCCATGGCACCAGTGAGGGGGTAGAGATGTGGAGCCTCAGTGAGAGGGGCGGATGTGGAGCCTCAGTGAGGGGGAAACTAGAGGTCTGGGAGCCCAGTATGTGTGTGTGTGCGCGCATAGAGTTGCCCCGGGAGGGGCCAGGGCAAGCTTGGCCCCGGTTGGGTAATTGGCTGGACACTACCCCGGTGAGGGTCATGGGAGAGGCCCAAAAGATGGTATATCTGCCACCCAAGGTGTGCGCTAGGTAAAACCTGTGGCCAAAGGGCCCTGCTCCAAGAGGGAGCAAGGCAGTACAAGTTGTTGATGCGTGAAGGAGACCCTGTGAGAGGGGGTGGAGCATAAGAGGCCCTAGTCAGAGGAGGGTGTTATGAATGTGTATGTGTCTAAGGCCTGACAGTGAGGGCTAAGCTTGGTCTGGCTGGAAGTGGAGAGCATCGTGGCACCTGAATGCCATCTGTGAGGCTTGGGCTGCGGTGTAGGGGATGAATGGAGCCACAGATAGTGCCCCCTGGCATCAGGGCAAGAATGGGAAGCCTCCCGCCTAATTAACACCATAATAATGTATCATTAAGACATGGTAGGAAAGGAGGCAGGTGATTGGCTCAGAAACAGGTGGGTGGGCCAGTGGCCAACTGACCCCAAGAAAGCCCCTTGTTACAGTAAGCATCACAGAGATGCTTAATGGAATCTTCTAGACTGAGCACTGAGTCCCATTGGGTAGAGTCATTTTCTTTAATCTTGACTAATCTATAAAGAAGCCTCTGGGAACCCCATAAGATTGGGCCCCTAATATAGTCCATGGCCTGTAAATTTTTTGGCTACCCTCAAGCCTGTGCCCTTTTCCTCACTATCTGGGGTCAATAATTGCCACATTTTTATCTGCAGTTGGATGTACAGGTTATTTTACCTCTACTCCTAACTCATCTTTTCCCAAGTTCAACATTACTCTCCCTCTGAGACACCAGACAGATAAATCATCTAATTTTGGACTTGTATTAGGTAATTTTAAAATGACTTTAACTTGAGAAAATAATTATTCAAAAATGTACCTTTTGTCTTATTCAGTAAGAAAATATCCACTGTAACGTAAGCAAATCATGTTTCTTCTCAACCTAAAGGCTGTCAAAGCTTCTATACAGTTTATTTTAGTCTTTGTCAGCTTTCATGGTAGTCTTCAAATCTCACCATAGACTTTCATCTGATGTGCCGATGAAGAGGTCCTGATATTTGAATCAATTCCTAGTAACAGTGTGTTTGTCTTCTTGTAAAAAAAAAAAAAAAAAGTAAGGCTAACTTTTCAGATTGGTGTTTCTCAGGAGATTTTCTAATTTTACTAGTTTGTTTTATTTCTTATATATTCTGCTATTTAAATGTCAATCCGTATTTCTAGAGAGGTTATTTTCTCTGTTTCCATTAGATTTTTTTTATCTAGGGGATTGTAACTCTATTCACTTGTCCCCCAAAAGTCTCAATAGATGCCCCTTTTTTGAGAGAGAGAGAGAATGAAGGGTAGCCCCTTTAACAGGATAATTGCAAATACAAAGTTAACATCTTGAGCTCTGTCAGATTTACATGGCTAGTAAAAAAATCTAGGCTGGACAAGGAAGATATCATCTATTAAAAGTTTTTGTTGTCACATAAAATTGGATGGTCCACTGCCACAGAAAACAACTTTGGTCAGCATTGGATCCAGACTTTGCATTCCAGATCTTTGGCCATAGTCTTAGTTGGTGCCAGTCAATTTGCATAGCTCCATTGAAATCTAATACTAGCTTGTACCAGCTGAGACCATGGCTCAGAATTTCCAGGTTTAATGTGCAGTATTTTTGAGTAAGTGTGTTTTGATTTTTGTTTTCTTCTCGCTATGAACAGGTGCCACTGAGTTGCTGCTTCTAGCCCGCAGGACGGACTTAAGGCGCATTTCTTTAGACACCCCAGATTTTACAGACATTGTCTTGCAACTGGAGGACATCCGTCATGCCATTGCTATTGACTATGATCCTGTGGAAGGCTACATCTATTGGACAGATGATGAGGTGAGGGCCATCCGCCGCTCTTTCGTGGACGGATCAGGTTGTCAGTTCGTTGTCACAGCACAGATTGCACACCCTGATGGCATTGCAGTGGACTGGGTTGCCCGAAACCTTTATTGGACTGACACTGGCACTGATCGCATTGAGGTGACAAGACTTAATGGGACCATGAGAAAAATTTTGATATCAGAAGACTTGGAAGAACCCAGAGCTATCGTATTGGATCCAATGGTTGGGTAAGGAGATACTTATAGATATTGTTTCTAAAAAGGCTGAATACCATTGAGAACATGTTGCACAGGTTGAACTTAGTCCCTTTAGTAAATGAAATCCATGTTAATTTGGTCTGTAAATTCACTGGCCTATACTGTATCCCTTGTGATCATACAATTTTGGGTCAAAGTAAGTGTGAGAGAGAGAGCGAAGCTGTATAAATGTTGAAGAGCATTGGTTTATAAATAATTCTGCAACTTTTTGTTCTGCAGATACATGTATTGGACTGACTGGGGAGAAATTCCCAAGATTGAGAGAGCTGCATTAGATGGTTCAGACAGAATTGTGCTGGTGAATACTTCCCTTGGCTGGCCAAATGGATTGGCACTGGATTATGCAGAAAGCAAAATATACTGGGGTGATGCAAAAACGGATAAAATTGAGGTTTGTTCATTGCATCTGCTTGTTTCATTCTGCACTCACAAAACAGTAGAGCTACTACCATTTTCTTGAAATAAGGATTAATATATGAAGTTGTCATAGGAATTTTCATGGGGCTTCATGGTGTGGAAAATATGCTTTGGGAACAATATGGAGTGCATCTTTCCTCTATGGCATTTGGCCCTGGAGTCAGTAACCTTTTAAAAGCAGTGGACCAAAATAACACAGCTCAGTCCAGTCACTAACATTTCCAACCTGGCCACCACTGCTGTGCAGGTAATCCTTCATGCCCTCAAATAAATCTCTGTCAAATACTCCCTCTCCCTCCTCTGCTGCTGAATTGTTGTTGTTATCCAGGTTTCACAGGCCCGATGAAATCGCTCAGCTAGGTGGATTCAGCCTGTGGGCCATGGGTTGCCACCCCCTACCTTATGCAAATCACTTCACAACTCTTCCGCCACTTGTCTGCCTACAGAAGGGAACTAATACTCATAATATTCTAGGATAAAAAGCTTATTTAAACATATGTACCCTGTTTTAAATTTAGGTGATTGTTTTTAAGTAAATCAGTTGATTTTATAGGTTGTAATATGTTCTGAGTCAATTTTACTTCCAGGTTCTCATGCATTTACACCAGTGAATCTCAAAGGAAGTGCTGGGGCCCACGAGTGCTGCGAGTGGTGGAAGTGTGCTGCAAAAATGATACTTCTCCTTGTTTTTGTTGTGGTTTTAAGCTGGGAGGCACAATATGTGTGCAGAGCAGGACGTAGGAGAGTGTGGGTGGGGTTGGGAGAAGCAGTGTCACCATGGGAATTGGACATCTCCAAACTGCCAGCACTGACTGCATCCTGCCTGCATGCTGGGGTCATGACTGCGCTGTGCACCTGAGTGCTCAGCGCCATGCTCTGCTGCATCCTGCTCTTCACACATGCTGTGTCTGCTCCCTCCAAACCCCGTTGGGCAAGTGGTTGTGGATGCCTCCCTCCCTTCCCTTCTTTCTCTGGTCCAGCTGATCAGCCAGGAACCCTCTTGCCCAGGACCAGCCTCCACTGCACTGAGCTCTAGGGAGCCCTCTCCAAGAAGTGTCCCTGCACCCTGTGGCTCCCCAGAGCAGCATGGAGTTTGTTTACAACCCCTACCCCTGTGGTTCCAGGGCACACAGCAGACTGGCTTCATGTGCCCTGTCAAAGAGGGTGCCTCCCTGGTTCAGCCCCACACTGCCTCCCACAAAGAGGGCTTTCTCTGGTCCTGTACCACAGCTGCTTCTCCCAGCCCCCAGTTCTGGTGCACATGTACCTTCCAGCTGCTTGGGAGCTCCACTAGGATTGGACATCTGCAAACTGTGTTCACACCACTGCCACCACTTTTCCTTGTTCCCTTTTTCAGGTGTAAGAATGAAGTGTGCAGCCAGTTTTAATTCAGACAAAAAGTGTCCCCCAGGTATCAAAACTTTGGGGAAACACTGGTGTATACACACACACACACACACACTCACACACACTCTCTCTCTCTCTCTCTCTCTTCTCTCATGTTCTTGGGGTTTCAAATATTGCTGGGTATTAGATTGTTCTCACCCTTTATTTCAGTACTTCCCATTAGAATTTTAGTTAAAGAAAAAGGGGTACGGGAGTGGGAGAGAAGTAACCATTCTATTGCCTGTAAGCAGTTTCATCAATCTAAAAATTTTGGGTCAGGTCTGACTTTTTTGACACATTCCGAGTGACTGTCTGAGTACATTGTTGTACTTGGTATATATTCATTGTTTTTATCACAAAAATGTAGACAGGTCTGGTGCTGTGTGGGGAAGATGGTTGTATGATGATCAGGGTCCAGGGAGCCTCATTTTCTCTGATTAAAAAAAATCCCGAATTTTCTAGATTAAAATAATCCAAATCCACATTTTTCTGTGACTAAAACAAGATATATATATATTTCTTAAAACCAGAAAATGTGGGGGGTGTGTATATATATATATGTATGTGTGTGTGTGTGTGTGTGTGTGTGTGTGTGTGTGCTTTGATCAAAGCAAAGATCAGATTTATAAATCACTTCCGTATTCACGTGATGTAGCCATCACCCTCCTTCATTCTCTTCCCTTTCTCTTTTTATGTCCTTTTCCTTCTTTCTCCTTTTCTCTCTTCTCCTTTCCTTTTTCCTTCCCACTTCTTTTCCCTCTTCTTCCCTCCCCTTCCCTCCTCCCCCCCTTGCTAGATGTGGTTGTCTTCCCCTGCGAAAGACAAAGAACACACACATGCATAAAATATCTATCTATCTATCTATCTATCTATCTATCTATCTATCTATCTATCTATCGTTTTAATCACAGAAAAGTGTGGATTTGGGGGTTTTTGTTCAATCAGAAAATGTTGAATTTTTTGTTTTTAATCAGAGAAAACCATGATCCCTGATGATGATACTGTGGCTATACGTCAGGTCCCTAGCAGTTGCACTTTTTCTTTTCTTTCGATGGTGGTGTTAGAGCAGGGGCGGGCAATTATTTCAGGTGGAGGGCTGCTTACTGAGTTTTGGCAAGCCATTGAGGGCTGCATGACAGGCAGCCAGGGGCAGATAAATATTAATATTCTAAATGTTTTAGGGGTCCCACGGGCCGGATAGAATGGCCTGGCGGGCCGCATTTTGCCCACCCCTGTGTTGGAGTGATGTTGTAGCCATGATGTTTCAGGAATCATGTAAGAGGAAAGCATTTCTTCTGGTGATACCCTTTATTGGACCAACTGTGTAGTTGGGATAGAATTAGACAAGCTTTTGAATGCAAGATGTTCTCCAGGTCTGAGGAGAAAGGCTAGCCCAGGGATAGTAAAAACCAGTGGGAAGACGGGGGGGAAAATTCCCAGAGGCAGCAGAAGGAAAGAAGCCGATTCCTGAGATCAAGGTCTAGCAAAAGGGAGGAGGGTTATCATTATTATTTTTTTTAGCTAGAAGGCAGGACATGGTGGCATCGTAGAGAATAGTTCAGAGTGGCATAAGCTTTCATAGGTATCTGATGAAATAGGCTGTTGCCTGCAAATGCTCATGCCTCTTTTAACCAGTTAGTCTCTAAGGACACCTACACACATGCCCGATGCCTGTTCCAGTGCATGCTAATTGGCACTCGTTGGAGCAGACTCAATTAATCAAATCACTTGGAGTGTGCTAATTAGCATGCTCAAGCAGCCTTGCTGTTTCATGTATTCAGCATCCCCAGGCTTCAGAATGGTGGTGGGGGTGCACTTTCACTAAAGTTTGTCAAACGATCTTTAGTTAAAGCACCCCTGCGACCATTTTGAAGCACAGGATGCTGCTGAATATACAAGACCCTGTTGGTGCTTAAATAGAGCGTCTTCCAAGAGCTGCTCTAATTAAAGTGCCCCCCTCCCCCAACACACACGTAAAGATGACCTAATGTGCTAGCCTGCCCTGCTGTTTGCCTGACTTCAGGAGACCCCTGTCGTTTGGTGGAAGAATCTTTGTCTGCCACACAGGAGACCTGGGTTTGATTCCTGGATGCTTGTATAATTACAGTGATAGAGGCACCGAATGTCTAGACTCAGTCTGGCCTTTGGATTCTGTTGCAGTGGTGTAAAGAGGGGATGGAAGGTCTGGGTAGCCTCCACTCTTCCAAACTCCTGCCTAGAGGCATATGTATTGAAGGTCTGGGTGACCTATTGCATATACCATGATCCGAAAAGGGTGATAATTGCCAAACATCAGACTTCAGGCTAACACAGCTAGCTACTTTCTTTAGTTTTAGTCTTTCTCAGTGACATCTATTATAACCCTGGCCTTGCAAAGTTGCAACAAAGTTTATCTCCCCAGACACCAAATATGTTTCCTTCATCTTTATAATAAGTTTTTATTTTATTTATCTAAAACTTAGAGTTACATTTTTGGACCTCTTTTTATTTTTGATATCTCTGGCCCCAGGCCTACAAGAAGCCTGGGATAGGCGGATGCCTTAATTCACAGAGAACAGCTTTTAGATGCAGGGCGTTGGCAAGCAGAGACACTAGTGGGCTCAGTGGCCTCTTATTGTAGCAACTTGAAAAACAAACTCTAGTGTTGTCCTCACTTGGATACTTCTTTACAGCAAAGAGGACTGTAGCCACAGACCTGCTTATACATGAATTGAATGTATTATGTTTCTGGAATGGAATGCTAAATGAGCACCAATATTTTTTTTTTGTTTCTTTCATGAGTCTTCCTCAGTGTTTGGTTTTTGCTAATGCCTCACGCTCCAGGAATTATGGGAGTAAGTGAGAAAGTGACTTTGCTTTGCATTTAAAGCTAAGAGAAAGTCTTGAAAAAGCACAAACCATAAAGGCTCAAAACTAGGAGGCAAATAAAGAATATTCCAACATTATTATTATTACTTTTTACATTTCATGATTTTTAAAAGCATTTCTTGTTTTTCTGGTGACATTATTAAATGCACTGGACTAGTGATACTGCAGTCCTTCAGGCTTCTTAGGATCTTTATTCCATTGACTTGTTACATTAATTTGAGGGAGAAACTTCGCCAGTCTCCATTAGTGTATAACATGACTACTTATCAAATTTGGAACTGCCAGGATAGTCTGGTAGTCCAGTGATCGTGTTATAGATGGACTGGAATTTGAGTCCTGAGAGATAGCTGGGATAACAGCATTGTAGCAGTGGTACACTCTGCCTGTGATGTGAGAATGCATCTTGCACAGCACATTCCAGCCTCTCTGGCTGAAAGGCTCTGGAAGGGTCTTCATCCAGAACACGGAGTCAACCCAGCAAAGAATACTTTGAATGAGTGGTGAATAAGCGGAGAGAATTGAACTCTTGGAAGTCTAAGACAGTAGCATCCCTGCTGCTCTGCACGATCAAACATTCAGAATCACATTACTGTGCCAAGTAGTGTTTCTGGGTTAATGGCTTTCTTATCTAATCTATTCTGGTGCAGTTTGCCCCAGTATCACATGTCAACCTTCTGCAGTGGCTGGAAGGCTGGAGGGAAGATGGGTGGGTTGGGTGGG